CAAAATTAAGATGATTAGCCGGAATTAATATAAAACCGGGCAAAATTAAGATAACTGACCGGAATTAATATAAAACCAGGCAAAATTAAAATAACTGACCGGAATTAATATAATGCTGGGCAAAATTAATCGGAATTAAAAAAAAATTTTTTTTCTTTAAATGCACACTTGCTCTTGGGTCCCAAGAGGGTGCATTTAGGAAGGGTTCTCTGTACTGTATATGTATAAAATTTTATTAATTTTATTAATTTTATTTTATTAATTCTTAATAAATACAAAAGTCTTATTAACTATATTTGTATAAATTTTTGTTATAAAAATAATACTCTTTTTTATATTTCTTTTTCTTATATTATTTATATTTTACAACTTGCTAAATTATCTTTTGCTTAGCTCAAAAAAACCTATAATAATAAATGTAACAAGTTTTTTATTTTTAACAACAAATTAGTAATCAAATATATATTGCTAAAATTTTTGAACAGATATATTGTATATTAAAATATATATATTTACAGTAATATGTAATATTTTCAAGACAACAGAAATATAATTATTTAATTTTAGTGTTATTAGTTCTAGCTATTTGAAATCCTCAATTATAATATAAAAGGTTGGTTTACAAAGTTTTGAACAATTAATTAATTTATTTATTATATCAATTTTATTTTTTTTATCTAGGATTTTTCAAATCATTTCAATTAAATCTTTACAAATGAAAAAATTTGATCAGAAATAGAGTTACTTAATACACATATGATTATACCAAATACAATTTTCAATTAATTTACTATGTTTTTAATAGTAATATAGTTTTTGAAAAATGTCCAAATTCACTTTCATCATATGTATATTACATAATAAGAGAATTGAATACTTAGAAGAAAAATTAAAATTTTATAAAAATTCTGATATCAATTTTTTGTGACAGGTGTTTAAATATCTTTTGTATCATTGTTTAAAGCAGAATAAAAAATCAGAAGCAAAGAAAGATTAGCCCAAAGTTCAACAGCAAAAAAAAAAAAAGACACAAGACCATGCCTTTTTCCTAATGAAGAATCATTATGTTTGTTAATAGAAGCAGAAGATAAAGCAAAAAAAATGCCAATGAAAGAAGGCAAAAAAAAGAAGTGGCCATTCAATGACGAATAAAATGTGACATTGAGAAAATGCAGAAGCAAGAAATTCACAAGCAAAAGAGAAAAAAAAGGGATCATATCAAAATAGAACAACAACGTATTAAAGAGGCAAAATGAATTGAAAAAAAATTATATAAAAAAGTAGTACTAAATAATTATATACAGCCTGCAACATTTTTTATTATTACCTTGACGATTTTAATTTTTTTATTATTTCATGTTAACAAATCGCAACTGCAGCATAATTAGTAGTGCGGCACAATACCCATATCCACCTTATATAAGAAAAAATAAGGAAAAAAAATTATTACATTTTTTATTCCAACCTACATCTGTTTCGTAATTCCGATAAATGTAATCGATAGAAAATGTAATCTCACAAGAATTATTCATATGATTATCTAATATAATGAATAATAGTGTTTTTCGCGTATTTTTACGTTCCAAATAATTGAAAGAGAGTTGTTATGTAATGTATAATGAACTCTTTGCATAAATATCAGTTCTGATTAATATAATTTTGCCTAGCATAATTCATGAAGATACCTTTTAATTTACTTAAAAAGCAAGGAGAGACATATTATTTCACTTTACTTTCGACAATAAAATTAAATGCATATTTTACTCATTCATCAATGATTGTAATTATATCAAGATTAAACCATCTGTTGTTCGACATAAACATAACTGTTTAATTCATCAATTCCTTTTATTTACTAGTTATGAATGCATTCTATTGATTCATCAATTCCTTTTATATATCTTTGTTATACTAGAAGCATTAAAGTATTGCATTAAAAGAAGTGACAAAGGATAATAATTCATATTTACCTACGTGAATAAAATTCGAAAGTATATGTCTGAAAATCATTAATTGCTTTTTTAGACCTTTCACGGCAATGCAAGTATAACTACTAATCCACGAAGGTCAAAAGCGGTAAGGAATAGCACTATTAGGTATCTTCCCAAGTACTTAGGATAGGATCAATTTTAGTCTCAAATTCCATATCCACTATGCGTTCGATATGTATTACCAGAGATTATCGATAAATTTTGTGTAATAGGATCGAGTTTCTTCTCAATATTTTCTACCGAATTCTTTAAATTAGCTTTTTTAAACCATAATCATGAGTCAATTAATTAGGAAAAAAGAAATAAATAACAGTAAAAAGTCAGTTTATTAATTTATCATGACTCACCGATGAGAACAGTTAGATCTGCATTAACATAAATGTTTTCTTGGACTGTTTAGTAAACATAAGACTCGATATTACTGTATTGTCAATATATAAAATAGTCAAAAAAAAAAAAATGAAATTAAGTTGTTTACCTCCTTGGATTTGACTAATAAGTTTTTCGATTTCTTTAGCTGGTCCACCCGGTATTCCCCATCTCTCAAAATCTGCTGCAATAAAATCAAGGAAATTACTGCCTTTAATCTTCTGAATATATATTCTACCGATATCGTTGTCATCAAGATCTAAAATGCCTTTTTTCTCTCTCAAGAAATTTCTAACCCCCTCTCGACTCCAACCCTTCACTTCTTCAACTGTAGGAAGTTCGGATGTGATAACAGTTGAGGAACTTGCAACAGTAGACATGTTTAAAAGAGTTTGATAAGTTTATCGATCCCTTTATTTAGTAAATGAAAAAGTTTATCTTGGGACATTTTACTGGTTGTCAATTACATAAATATGATCAGTTGGTTTTGTATCATTACAGATAGTTTAATAAATTAGGGAGCGGGTCCGAAGCATAATTAAATAAGCTATTATGCTAAAAGTGCTATGTATCATATAGCTTTGACTAAAATACATCATATATAGTACCCATTACCATTTCTGGTAGTACTCTTCATAAGAATTGTAAAAAGTCTCTGGATACTTTAGTCAACATTATACGGTTGGTAAACAATGCAATATTAACAATTAAATCTCTATTTGCTATTTATTTTACTGATTGTTATTTTTAATTATAGTAAGTATCTTATATTATTTTGATTATCAATGACAAAGAATATCGAATTATCAACAATAATGTAATGATGACAATTCGATATTCTTTGTCAAATATAAATAAGTCTGCTTGAGCAAGATAATGTTAATGATAAAGTATCGAGAAGCACAAGAAATTCGAAAAACATATGAAATTTCATCTGAAACATTGAGAAGGTGAAACAACCAAGGGAAGATATCAAGTATTAGAACACCTGGTGGCAACAGGTTGTATTCCATAGTGGATGTGAAGAAGATATTTGGAAACCAAGAAAGAATAAATGAAAAGAAAAAGATCTGTTATGCACAAGTCAGTTCAGGAAAACAAAAAGAAGATCTTGACAGGCAATGCGAGTACCTCAGATAAAAATGTTCAGACCATGAACTCATCAAGGACATCAGATCAGGTCTCAACTGGAAATGTAAAGGTTTTATGTTCATTTTGGAACAATTGTACCAAAGAGATATCGAGGAGGTTGTGGTTACCCACAAGGACTGTCTCTTTAGTAAACATAATATAAAGATCGTGGTATTCAGTTTGGATATCAATGTTGATGATACCAAATCCGGTGAGCTTGCTGAGAATCTATTATCAATTGTTATTATCTTTACAACAAGACACAATGGACTCAAATCAGCTGAAAATTGAAAACAACAAAGAGAGATTGAAAACATGAAAGATATGGATTTATCCAACATCTGAAGAAAAAGAAAAGCTAAGAAGATGAATGGGAACT